CCAGTAAAAGGTCAGATGAAAAGTGGTCTGTAAATGAATACATATTGATGGTGAGAAAGGATAGAAGGAAAGAGAAAGAATGAGAAAGACACAGAGACAGGGAAGCAAAGAGATAGAGAGAAACAGAAAGAGAAAGAGAACAAAAGAGATGATCAGAGGCAGAGAGATATAGACCCAGAGAGACAGAGATATATAGACAGAGAATCAGAGAGACAAAGAAACAAGAGGGAAACAGAGAGAGACCCCATAGAGAGGAAGAATGAGCTTAGATGTAGATAGCAATGTCCATCTATCTGAATGTATGAAGAAGAAAACCACAGAGTCAAAGAGAGAAAGACCAAAAAGAAAGAGGATGGATGGGTAAACTGATTAAAAAACCCTAAGTTTATGTAATCTTTAGGTTCTGGGTTCCAACCTTAATTAATAAATCTTCAGTTCAGCCCTTCAAGTCCCCCATAGGGTCTACTCTTGTTTATTTCTTGATTTTCCCTAGAAAACACATTTAGGATAGCCTATGAACAGCATCAAACTCAGGTCTATAGGAGTTCAAGGAATTCTAGGTGCTGATTGGGTGCTGAGTGCCTAATAATGCAGCTATAGGCCTAACAGCATCATTAATATGTTAATAATAATGATTGCTCAATAAAATCATCCCCACAAGGAGAACAAATGGTACATGAGCATCATCACAGCACATTCAACTCTTTCAACACAGGAAGCACTTGAATCCACAGGATAAGTCACAAAATACCAGAGATTCAGGATCTCAGAGTGGAAGTGAAAGGAAAGGCCATCAAACTCCTTTCCAGGATACCCCAACATTGGTCATCCACTCTCTACTTGAAGGTCTATAGTATTAAAAAAAATTTAACCTTTAACTTCCCAAGGAAACTTGCTCTACTTTTGGACAGCTCTAATTATTAAGAAGTTGTTCTTCACATTGAACCTAAAGCTACAACTACATTCCATTACTCTCAGAGTTTTAACCTTTGGGAACCAACAGAATAAACCTCAGCTCTCCTCCACATGACGGCCGTCCAAATACTTTCAGATATTTATCATGTGTCTTTTAAGTCCTCTTATCCAGGCTTAATGTGCTTAGTTCCTTTAACTAATGCTTACATGGCACAGTACTCAATGTACTCCCCATGTAAGTCACCTTCTTTTTGGAACTGGAAGGAACTTTATGGAGCCTATTTTCCAGAGAAAGAAATTGAAGCCTAGGTATTCAAGTGATTTGCCCAAGGTCACACAGGTAGTAAGCACCAGAGAAGGGATTTGAATCCAGGTTCTGTGATTTCAGAGACAATACTTTTCTTCACTGAATGACGCTGATTTTTAACATGTTCTAGTTTGCCCATGTCTTTCCTAAAATGTGGCATCCCAAACTAAATACAATATTCCATTCAATGACTATCTGGCTTATTCTGGACACTTAGCTTTTGGGATTGCCATGTAACACTACTGACTCATACTGATTTTGCAGTCTACTAAAGCCTTCAGGTCTTTTCACAAAGATTATTGTCTAGCCATGCCTGTCCTGTTCCGTACTTGTAAAGCTATTTTGTTTGAACCTCACTAAAGTGTGTTAGACTTATCTGTATTAAATTCCATCTTATTAGATTTATCTTGTCATTCCAGCATGTCAAGACTTTGTTGGATCCTGGCTTGATCAGCCAACATTTTAGTAATCCCTCTGAGCTTCATGTCCCCTAAAGGTTTCATAAGCATGCTATCTTTGTCTTCCTCCAAGTCATTGATAAAATCATCTTCCTCATTCTGCCCTTCTCATCCCAGTGAAGCCCAGACTCTATTTCCCTGTCAGTAATAACTCACACTTGAATACTATGTTGAGGTCTGCAAAATACTTTACACACATTGTCTCACTGAATCCTCATAACAAGCCCGTGTGATGGATGCTATTATTATTATTGACATCATCATCAACATCATCATCATTATATTATATTGCATTGTGCTATGTTGTGTTATGCTATGTTATAATATAATATTATGTTGTATTATGTTAGGTTGTTATATTATATTATAACATTATAATATATTACCAATGAGAGAACTGAGACTCGGAGAGATTAAATGACTTGTCCATAATTACACAGGTTTTATCCTAGGTTTTCCAGCTTCCAATTCCAGGCCTAGTTATGTATACACTATATCACACTGCCTTGATGCCTTGACAAGGGTTATAAAATAATGGAATTTACTATTTCTACTTCTGAGGGAAGAATTCACTTCAGTGATAGAAAGGACAAAAAAGAAGAAAAAAAATCTCTAAATTTTTGTTGCTTTTTCTCTCCCCGCCCAATTTAAGTTTGGGGGTAAGAAGGTGAGTATAAGCCCAGTTCTATCTTGAAAACATCCATCCATCCAGTGAAGAAAATATTGGTTGACTGCAGAAGGAATCTAGCGTTTTATTCTAGACCAGAATCTCTGCAGAGCACATAATTATTATTATTTTTGGTTTGTAGCTAATCTAGGAATTTTGTGAGACCTATGGATCAGAAGGTGATGGCAGAGATGTAGGTACCTCCTTAATGGCCCTGTGTTTTCCACATTAGCACCTGGTTAGTTAGGGGTTAATGGACTCCAAGAAGAGCCTATATCTAACAAACCTGTTCTATAGAAGAAAGGGGAAAAATCTGGAGTGAAGTGGTAATATATGGGGGTGAGGGGGATGCAGAATCCTGAGAAGAGAATGTTTAGCTCAGTGTTTGTGTATGAACTCCACACACCAGAGAAGCTCTCTCAAATCAAAGTGACCTAGTGTCATAGCAGGTAAAAGAATTCTTCCATGCCTCACAGGGGAGGTCTGTATCTCTCTTCCACTATGAGCACAGAGAGGCATTCAGGTTTTGAGGAAGCCCTTTAGATGATCTGAAGAGCCATTAGCACCCTAGGGAGTGGGCTATTACCCTCAGCTTGATGTCTATATAGGCAAAGTGAAGTGGAGAGTTAAAGCAATTATCTAGATTTTTTAGGAAAACCAACCAACTGACCTACAAACCAACTTGCCACCCAACCAACTAATCAACCAATCAACCAAACAAAGGATGATGATGGAAACATTGTTCTTTAAGGCAGTTCATGAACACAGTGTTAGAAGGGTTTACTTATATTCTATTAAAGACAAGGGCTGTGAAGGGAAGACAAAAAAGTCTAAGATTTTAAGTTGTAGAGAAGGTACTGATCTGCACTGGTAGAGGAAATTTCCTTATAGGATGTTTCCTATATCAATGAAATCGTTGGTCTGCTTATGTGTGTACACACACACACACACACACACACACACACACACACACACACATACACATAAATACACACATACATACATCAGTCATATAATTGTTATAAGGTAACTGCTTTGCAAGTCTCCAAGTGCCATAGATCTGTGAGCTGTTACTATTATGGTCTTCTAGACCGTCCATACAGTCAAAACAAAATAGAGATTTGAAGTATGGAAAAAATTAATACAAAATATTTATTAACATTATTATAATTAAGAATAATGCTTTCTGCAGACTCTTCGATCTAATCATCTCAAACCATGTAAAGCCAGTATGTGTCATAGGGAAGAACATAAACCTAGGTGCTCCTGAATCCAAGGCTAGCTGTCTATCCTTTATATTATATTGTCTTTTCTGTGCGAGTGTTTATTAGTCCCATTTTATGGAATAACACATATTTATAAAGTACTTTGAGGTTTGCAAAAGGCTTTCTGCACAAGTCTTTTATGAATATTATTATCTACATTTTACAGATGAGGAAACTGAGGTTCAGAAATAAAGTAAGATGTCCATAGTCATACCACTAATAAATGCTGGTGCTAGAAGTCCAAACCAGATCTTCTGACTTGCTCAAGTGTTATTTCCCTTATCGATGCTTCTTCTAAGAGAAGAAGTAGGAAGTTTATAACTTGGAACATAATCTAATAAAACCTAGGCTAGGGAATATGGGCACTTGGGTTGGATTTCTGTCTGTTTCCCTTTATGAGACTGGGTAAGTCTCATTACCACCTGTTTCTTCATCTATAAAATGGGAACCACCACATCTGTTTCCCTCAAGGGGCTTCATACATCTTCATTACGTGGTTTGAGATGATTAGATAGAAGGGTCCACAGAAAGTATTATTCTTAACTATAATGTTCTTAATAAATATTTATGCGGCACAGTTAGTGAGCACAGTGTTGGAAGGGGTTTGCTTGTATTCTGTTGAAGACAGGAGCTGTGAAATGAGGAGAAAAGTCTACCTTGTCACTATTTATCATTCTTAGTTAACAATATAAGATATATGATAGCTGCTAAACAATTTGGTGGCAGAACATCATAAATGAAGTCTGTTTTCCCTGGGAACTGCATAACCATTTGAATTAATTTAATTTGAAATATCAAATTAAATTAAACTGTAGAATAATCCCCAAGGGAGAGCATATTTCATTTGCAATGTCTTTTGATAGAATATTCTCTGCCAAAAGTTTTGCTTTGCATCTGGCTGCAGATCTAAATTTATTGCATTAGCTCTGAGAAGACTTTTAATAGAAAGTGAAATTAAAAGAAAACTTGATGCAAAATAAAGATGTTAAATACTCCCAAACAGCCCATATACAGACTCTGGCACTCTACTTTCATGGCCCTCTCTCTGTTCCCTGGTCTCGATGTCAGACTGAGTGACCTGGCTAGATGGATAGCTTTCATCAGATAACCATAGTGTAATGCACAGAAAATGCCAAGACACCAGCAAGATCTAGTCAATTTGGAGTCTGAATATCATTGTCAGAAAGAATGGTGAGAAGTAAAGAGAAGTAGATGGGTGGTGATGGGTAAAAACAATCTTTAATATTAAAAGGAAAGAGGGGAAGCAAAGAGAATTATTCAGCTGCACCCCCATGTTGTTTCTTGATTACTAGCTTCCCTTTCTTTTAGCCATCTCTTTACTAAATTCACAAAAGGGCTGTTTTCTAATGGGGTTTCTGGTTCAACAGGTTGGCAAGAGAGAAGACGATGACGAATCCAGCAGTTTGCTAAAATATAGGTCACCTTAAATCATCACTTAGGAAATGGCTAGTCTTCTTTTCATGGCAAGACACTGAAGAAAATTGCACTGAGTAGCTGCCTGGAGATTGATGCAGTGGGAATAATCTATTTCTTCTTCTCAGTGAGCAAATACCCAGCAGGAAAGGTAGGTAGGAAGAGAAAGTATTTGCTCCAAACAAACAACCCCTGGCCCTTTAAGGAAGGTCTGCAACTGAACTAAAATTAGTCCCCAAGAATCCAGATAAGAGGCGTCTTAATCAAATAAAAAAAGCATTAGGCTTTAATCTCCAGTACTTTAGTAACCACCCAGTTTGTTTTAAATCTTGATTGGAAGAATTATCCTGACAAGAAAATTAGTAGTAAGTCAATAGACCTGTGGCCCAAAGATAGGGCCTTAAGTAAGCAAAGAAAAAAATCACTGGGACCCACAGACTCTGCCTTCTCTTCTGCCAACACACACATGGGCAGGCAGGCAGCTGGCTTCCATAGAATCTCTTGGACTGACTGGGTGGGTGAAGTTCATTATGATTTTAACCATGAAACCATGAAGTGCAGGTAATCATATTTTAAAAAGATAAGGGACATGACTAGAAAAGAACTCAGCTTCATGAAGAAATTCTAATTTTCAGCAGTCATGGGTGGAAAATCAATACCACTCTCTGATGCAAAATGAGGCCTGGGCTTGATAAAGCTTTTCCCCTTCTTCTCTTTTTGAAAAAAAAAAGAAACACATCATAAAGTTTAGAAAAAAAGAAAGAAAAGAAGGAAAGAAAGAAGAAAGAAAGAATAAAAGGAAAATGGCCTGCAACTGGTTCTGTGTGCTGACTGAATATGTGCTTTCCTGAACTTTTTCCCCCTCTGTTGTTGGAAAAGATTTTCCTTGGCCACAATCTATTTCCATCTATTCTTGTCACAAATGCATCTTGTTTTCTTGATTCAAGCAGTCTTCTCCATCCTACTTATTTCTACTCCTTCTCCCTCTACCACCTCTCTCTCAAATGCTTTGCTATACACCATGCTTCTGGTTGTTTGAGCAAAAGCAGATGCCCCCATTCAGTTTCTCTCCCCTCACCCCAGCCTTCTCTTTCCTTTCTCCATAGTCCTTGAGCCTAAAGCGGGAACTTCCACAAAGTCACCGGTGCCATCATCATAAATGAATGAATGACTGAATCATGGGTTGCTGTTTGTCCTTTGTTTTCAAAGAGGACCATGACATCAGGAAGGTGATGCTATGACATGGAAGTGAATTGAATTTAAGTGAGGGAGGGCTGTGCAAAGTCACCAGCCTCACTTTCACCCCCGGAGCCATCTGGGTCCAGTGGCCAGATAGAAATCAGGATGACTGGAGATAGCCCAGGATGCAGTGGGGATCCTTGGCCTTTTTAAGCTAAGGTGCTTAACAGGTCTCAGTTCGAGCATTTATCAAGTACTTCCTCTGGATAACATGATGACATGATGAGATGATGATGTCGCACAACAGCAACGATGATGGTGACAAAGATGATGAACCCAAGAGCCTTGGGAATAGCACTGCTTCCAGCCCAGCACCCTCAACCCTCATCCTGGGAAGCAGTCCCTATGGCAGACGAAAATTTCAGCAACTGTTCCTGCAGGTGCTACAGCTACTGAAAACACAGAAAATAACCAGTTAATAAACTGTGTTCCAGGCACTGTGCTAAGTGCTAGGGGATTCAAATAAAAAAAGACATTCTCTCTTCTCAAGGAGTTTACCTTCAAATGGAGAAAGATGATGCAATGTGGAAGGTTTCAGCAGTACATCAGATAGAAAAGTCCCATGGACCTGAGGGTGCAGCAGCAAAGCGGATGACAATGACTGTTTATGAATGTCATTACCACTGATAAAATCAAATTAATTTCTGATTTGGAACCAGATGATAGTGACAAAAACTTTGGTGGCAACTCTAATGGCTTCCTAATGTTTCCAGGAGCAAATACAAAATGCTCTGTTTGGTATTCAAAGCCCTCTATAACCTAGCCCCCTCCTACCTTTCCGGTGTTCTTACATTTACTCCCTGACATGTACTCTTTGATTCAGTGACACTGGCTTCCTAGCTGTTCTATGAATGAGGGACTCCAAGTCTTGGCTCCAGGTATTTTTCTCCGGCTGGCCCCCATGCCTGGAATACTCTCTCTCTTCTGCTCTGACTACTGACCTCCCTGACTGCTTCCTTTAAATCTCAACTAAAATCTCACCTTCTATAGGAAGCCTCTCCTCTGTTAATTATTTCCTGTTTATTTTGCACATAACTTACTTTGTATATATTTGTCTGCATGTTGTCTTCCTCATTATGTTTTAAGCTCCTTGAGGGAATGGATTGTCTTTTGCCTCTTTTTATATCCCCAATGCTTATCACAGTGCCTGGCACATAGTAGGCCTTTAATAAATGTTTATTGGTTGATTGATTTTTTTTCTGGTCTTAGGTAGCTGTGGCTGTAGCACCTGCAGGAAAGGTTGTTGGGCTGCATCTCTGTGGGAATTGCTTCTCAGGATGATGGCTGAGGGCACTGGGCTAGAGGCAGTGCTATTCTTGAAGCTCTTGGGTTCATCATCATCCTCATCCTCATCCTCATCGCTGCTGTATGTCAGCATCTTCTTGTCATTGTCACATATTATTACCCCTCTTTTCCATACTGACCCAAGGTACTTTGTGGAAAGGGCAGCAAGGTGGTATAGTGGGTAGAGTGCCAGGCTTAAGTCAGGAAGACTCATCTTTTTGAGCTCAAATCTGGCCTCAGATACTTACTAGGTGTGTGACACTGGGCAAATCACTTAACCTTGTTTGCCTCAGTTTCCTCATCTGTATAATGAGCTGGAGAATACTCACAGGTTGTTGTTGTGGTTTGTCCTTCATTCTCTAAGAGGACCATGACATCAGGGAGATGATGACATGACTTGCAATTGACTTTGATTTGAGTGAGGGAGGGCTGTGCAAGGTCACCAGCCTCACTTTCTCCTCCAGAGTCATCTGGGTCCAGTGGCCATGTATCGATCAGGACGGCTGGGGAATGAACTGGAGAAGGAAATGGCAAACCACTCCAGTATCTTTGTGATCCAAATAGGGCCACAAAGAGCAGAACATATTTGAACAGTAACAACATTAACAACAACTTTGTGGAAGGAAGTCTTAGATTTTGTATAATAGATTATACAAGAGGGAACTAGCTTCAAGTCAAGTATTCTTAATCCCAGATAGTTTGTTATTCCTTTGTCAGTGAGATCTCCACTTGAGGCAACTAAGTGGGTGCAGCAGATAGATCTGAAGTTAGGAAGACCTGTGTTCAAATCTGACCTCAGACACTTACTAGCTATGTGACCCTGGGTGAATCATTTAACCTCTGTCTGCCTCAATATCCTCAGCTATAAAATGGAAATAATAATAGCACCTACCTTCTAGCGCTATTGTGAGCATGAAATAAGATAATATTTATAAAGTGCTTAGCTTAGTACACACAGTAAACGCTTAATATAACGCTTTCTTGTTTCCTTTGTTTCTTCCTTTCCAGGTTGTGTGGAGGAAAGAATGCATTGCTCTCCATCCAGAGAGTTACACCACTGGACAGAAACAATCTTACACATGCATATGTGGTCTCATCTCCCTTTTTTTGACTTTCCTTTCAGGAAAAGTCTAAAACATAAGCCCCTCCTTTTTGCTGTACCTCATGGAGCTTTCATTCTAGAAGAATCAGCAACCACATCCCTGACTATACCCAAAGTTATTTTATATTGAGTCCATCACAGTTAGTACTCATTATTTAAATAATAAAAGCAACAATAATGCTACTGTGATAACTACTACTAATAAATTCTATGACAAATAATAACCTGGCTTAATATTCTACTACAAACCTGAATTTAAGAATGTTTTAGAAAACATCTCCCACTAAAGAGTTAGAGTGATTTAGTAGAAAGATGGCCTTGGAGATGGGAAACCAGTCCTGGACTCAAGTCCCACTAATGGCACATTGTAGCTATGTGACCCTGGGCAAGTCACTTAACCTCTCACTACCCCAGTCAATCTGCTGAGGCTCTAAGTTGCAAAATAGTTGCTAATCTGCATTGGTAGACTGTGTTTTCTCATTGAGATTTCCCTATACTGATGAAATACCACAGGTACAAAATAGCTCTTCCCCCAACTGAAAACAATACAATGTGCTACCGGATAATGTTAACAGGTCAGATATTCTGCTGTTTGATAAGACTAAAGGTTTATTAGGACTCATGGCTAGATCCATCCCATCTAGTGGCATTGTTGCCAAATTTTATGCAGAAAAATACTAAGGTAGTATATCGTTTTGACAAAGAAGCAAAAATAAATGTGGAACCACAGAAATATTATAGATCCACAGACAATTGGAGTTAGAAGAGACCTTGGAAGTCATTCAACTACATTGGACTCTATTCAATTTGATTCCACAATCCAAGCCTTGTGCAGCATGAGTCTCTTTTACAGCAGGTTCAAGAAATTGCTATTCTCACAGATAGAAAGAGTTTCATTATCTGGACGGTGTATGGAACTTCTTTCATGCTTAGTCACCAATTCAGAAGGTGTTGCTTGCCACATTTAAGAGAGGTACATTAGTGGAAAGATGATGGGCTTGGAATCATGAGGTCTAGATTCTTATTCCATATTGGACACTTCTTATGTGTATAGTCAGGTCCAAGTCTTTGAACCTCAGTTTTCTAATCTGGAAAATGGGGATAAAATAACTACTATTGCACAGAGTTGTTTTGAAGAAAGTGTTTTGCAAACCTTGAAGCAGATATTTGGCCAACAAACAGCCACCTAAAGGCAGCTAAAAGGTGCAGGGGATAGAAAGCTAGGTCTGAAGTCAGGAAATACTGAGTTCAAATCCAGCCTCAGACACTTACTAGATGTGTGACCCTGGGCAAGTCACTTCATCTTGGATTGCCTTAGTTTCCTCAACTTTAAAATAGATATAATAATAACACCTATCCTGCAGGATTTTTGTGAGGATCAAATGAGATAACATTTGCAAAGTTCCTAGCACATAGTAGACTCTTAATAAATGCTTATTACCTCCTCTCCCCATGACTTAACTGTTTAAATAAATATATTTTAAAAATTTTGTATGAATCTGTTCATTAAATATAAATGTACATAAAATAACAATAATCATTTAAAAGAATGGGTTCTCTTGGACTGTTCTGCTTCTTAACTGGAATAGAGTAATTGTTGCTCCTACCCCAAATTTTAAATCTTTAAGTCCTTTTGAATAACTTGCAAAATGTAATAAATGATAAATGATAACTTGATAAATAACTAGTGTTATAATGACTATTAGGTGCATGGGGGTTGGGTAACCCAGTTCTGAAAAGCTTCTTACAGAGAAATGGACTTCTAGAGAGTTCAAGGCAATTCTCGGCAATTCTACCTAATGCCATATTAAAACTTATCCTTGGTATATTCTAGTCAGCAGTTTACCTGAGCAAACCTTGGAGGATGATGGTACCATCTGCCTCCTTGGCTTCACTGGTTATATGTAACAGGTCTAGGGGACTATATTTTCTGAAGGCAAAAGGGGAGAGAGATGAGACAAAATTTCTTTTCTCTATGCCATTCACAGGAGTCCTTCCATGTGTCAAAGGGACCTTAATGTTTACCATCTCCTGATCATTCTGTATTCAGGCTGTTCTAGTTTTCATGTCTTTGTTTTAGTACCCAGTTGGCTTCCTGTATGTATGTCTTTCATGTTTTCTCGACTAGAGGATAAATTCCTTCAAGCATGATGTGGCAGAAAGAGGACTGAATTGAGTCATGGGGACCATGTTTGAATCCTGGTTCTGTCATTTACTACCTGTGGCTAAGTTGCTTAACCTCTCTGGGCCTCAGTTTCCCAATCTGTAAAATGAGAAGGTTAAATTACATGACATCTCAAATCCTTTCCAGCTCTAGATTTATGAGCCTATGATGTTTCAGTTCTGTTACATTTCCCAAAACACCCAACCAGTCCTAGATACACCATAGAGGGTTAGGAAAGGCTTAGTGAATGAATGAATGAATGATTTTTTCTGAAGCTTCCTGGAAGGCAAAGCTAGCTTCTGCTATGGGTGAGTTGACCTGGGATTGAAGCCAGCTTCTTGAAGGTGTCACCTGGACTCAGGACATTAGTTCCTTTGAATGCCTGGCCAAATACATCTACTG